AAAAAAAAAGAAATCATTATCTTTTCAACTTAATATAACAACTAGTTATTCAGTCTCCTTTATATGGCAAAAATTACATAACTGTTAATCAAACACCAAGACGTCCCTGGCTGTGCCTAGAATTTAATACAGATAGCAAAAAATATTAAGTAACAGCTAATACACTAGAACTGTCTGAGGAAGGGCTTTATCCAATAGAACTCAGAATGAGAAGAGACTTCTATTTTATTAAGTTTATAATGTTTCTGATGTTTAAGAGATGCTACCTCAAATTCTTACTGAAGAGAGCTAGAGAAGAAAGAGGAGATACAGAAAAGGAATGGAAGAGAAGAGGAAAAGAGAGGAGAAGAAAGAGAAGAATGATTGAAAAGGAAAAAAGTTCAGAGTCCACACTCTCCATTTATAATGATCATGAAAGTTCATTTTTCATTAGGATGGAGACCTTTCTACCACATTTGGCTCCACAGTTCCTAGAGGTCCTCTGGCCAGTTATTGCCCCGCTCTGACAATCCTAACCAAACAGTGGAAGACAAGCTTTGGGAATTTTGATATTTGCTAAGTTAAATCCTCAGTACTAATAAGGTCCGTATTGTAATTATGTTCCGTGGTTAAGTTTTAAATTTCTTAGTGAACACAAAGAATTACAGAATTGTCATTGCTATTTAAATGAGGTTCGTTCTATAGTAATTATAATAATATCAGTGGTCTTATTATTATGAAAATAAAATGTCAAGGAAACGTGATTGTTATTTACTATTTCCTATAAAGGTAATGATAATTGGTAGCATGGTATAGTACAAAAAGTCTGGTCAGAACATTCAGAGATTTGGGGTTTTGTCAGCCCAGGCCTTTTTTTTCCCCTCACCTCAGAATCAGGTAATAAAAATGATCTACCTCACTCAACCCCTAGATTTCTCGCAAAATGTATTATTTCATTTTTATGTTTTTACGATAAAGGAGGAGATTGTTTTTAAATATACTCCAGAGTCACAGTGCTCATTCCCATCTCAGATTTAAATGCCTTCAAAATCCTCAACAGTTTTCCTCGATATTAATAAGCGGAGTTGTTTGGAAGAAAAAAATATTGAAATTGCTATTGTAGAATCAAAGCATGAAAAATACTTTCTTACCACTCCTCATCTGTTCCACCTCACAGAAGTGCGTTCCAGTGGGAGTGTGAATAAATGCATGGACATGCTTAACTCCATTCTGAAAATTAGGGACAAAAAATCGTTTCCAGTAAAATTTCAGCATATGTCATAAAGCCAATTTCTTTAATTAAACCGAAAGCACAAATAACTGAGCAAACCTTTTCAAGACGCTTCCAGGGGACTTCTTCCACGTAGACTTGAGCTCGGATGACGTGGTCAAAAGAGGAAAGGAAATGCTCACAGATGCTCATTGCAAAAGTTTCTATGCTTTTGATCTGTAAAGTGAAACAAAATGCTAGTGATCAGAAATAGCTGCCCCATTTAAAAATAATTTTTTAAATATCCACGGAGTTCTCTTTCCTGTTCAAGTCCTTTTCAGAATCAGAGAAATATACATTTTGAAAGAACCACGAGACATGAATTGGTCCTTATCCCAAATTTTCATAAGGTCTCCTAAATGTAGTTAATACAGCACCATTACCGGAGTGAGACTACCCTGTTTTTAAAAGAAACCTGTTCTGCAGGAAGAAATGTGTCAATCAATGGATGAGCACAAGAAAACTTAACATTTAGATTCTCCTTCCGGTGAGCTCAGTCATTACCCACGCCAACGACAATACTACGGTGGACTCCAAAACACTCTGGTGTCTCTATGAGGTTGCCAAATGGGCCTCCCAGTTTCCCAGGGGAAAACATTAACACAGGGCCACTTCTGCTTCCTTGCTTTGCAAACAGACCTTCGATTGACTATCCCTCACTCCCACCCCCATGAAGCAGCTCCCTACTTCCACACAAATTCTTCATAATAATCTCTAGACAATGTGTTATGGTCTTAGCAGAGTCTACAGATGATTTATGGCTTGCCCGAGGTGGACTATTTGTACAGGTTTCCCCAGGATAGTTCTGTTTTATGCCTGTTGTCCCAGAATAATTATTTAGCATCTTATTTCACTCTCGAAGTGTCCTAGTTTGGAAAACAAAAATACTAACTCAAAAAGATATATGCACCCCCATGTTCATTGCAGCATTATTTGCAATAACCAAAATATGGAAACAACTTAAGTATCCTGTCAGTGGATAAATGCATAAAGAAAATGTAATATATATTGGTAATATACATAATGGTGTATATATTTATTTATATGGTGTGTGTGTATATATATATAGTGTGCGTGTGTGTATATATATATATATATATATATATAATGTATATTCGTCTAAAAAGGAGTGAATCTTGACATTTGTGGTAACACAGATCATAGATGAACTTTGATGGCATTATGCTAAGAGAAATAGTCAAGAAAAGACGAACACCATATGTTCTCACTTATATGTGGAATCTAAACAAAACAAAAACAAACAAACAAAATCAAGTTCATAGATACAGAGAACCGATTGGTGGTTGCCAGGAGAGAGGAGATAGGCAAAGTGGGTGAAGGGAGTCAAAACAAACTTCCAGTTATAAAATTAGTAATCATGGGGATGTAATATACAAGAAATACAGTTAATAATACTGTATTATGTATTTGAAAGTAGCTAAGAGACAACTCTTAAAATTTCTGATGACAAGAAATAAAAATTTATTTCACCATATACACAAATATCAAACCATCATGTTGTGCACCTGAAATATAAAGTTGTATGCCAATTATATCTCAACTTAAAAAAAACAAAAGAAAAAAAAGTGCCACCTTGTTTTAGATAAGAAATTATATGGTCACTCTATCTACAATGAATGAATTTGAATTGTCTTTAAGATCCAGGTCCATTCTTGGGCGCCTGGGTGGCTCAGTCGGTTAAGCGTCCGACTTCGGCTCAGGTCATGATCTCACGGTCTGTGAGTTCGAGCCCCGCGTCGGGCTCTGTGCTGACAGCTCAGAGCCTGGAGCCTGTTTCAGATTCTGTGTTTCCATCTCTCTCTGACCCTCCCCCGTTCATGCTCTGTCTCTCTCTGTCTCAAAAATAAATAAACATTAAAAAAAAAAAAAATTAAAAAAAAAAAAAAAAGATCCAGGTCCATTCCTTCACTTTTCTGCATCTTTCACATAGTACTGGAAATATGAGAATCTGTGTTACCTGGCCCTCTTTTGTAGTGCAGTACCGTAGCCTATTTTCAATTTATTTTTTTAAGAGAGCAATGCCTTTTTCTATAGCCATGTTTGTGCATGCTGGGTCACTCTGAATAGCATGAAAAAGGTTCGGGGTGGAGCTAGGCCTTGCAGAAATTATATTTCAATTAGTTGGTTCATTTCATGCATTCTGAGTGTGGATTTCATGCAAAAGCATGAGAAAAGAAACTTTCTAGTCTACATTTCTTGTCTTTTTAGACTTCTTTGCAAAAAGAAAAATCATCTTGAGTTTCCCAGAAATCTGCTGGAGGTCCGACACAGCTTCCCTCACACTTAAACTAGAAGTTGAAGTGCTAAAATATCAGATACTATCAGCTCCAAGACTCTCTTGAAGAATACGGCTACCAACATATATGGATACTAAGTGGTCATGCAGTTGAGAACATTAGGAAGCCATTAAAAATTGGACCAATAGATTTCAAAATATATCTTATACTCAAGATTTTCTTCTATAGTAACACCAGGAAGAGAAATGGTACTTTCTTCTATAAATGTACACCATTCTAAAAGAAAAAAAAAAAAAAATAGGTAACAGGAATCAAAGAAATGCATGACAAAAAATGTGTAAAAATTCTATTCTGAAATCCTCCCAGGGCTTTGATTTGCCAATGATCCTAATTAAGAGAGAACATGTAAATTTGTCAGATAGGATTCTCTTCCTAAAAGATGTAGTAAGTTGAGAACCAAAAAAAGCAAAGAAATGAGATTAAGAGGGGAAAAAAAGAAAAAAGCTTTTCTGTAAGGCTGAGAATTTTAGAATCCAAAAGAAAAAGAATTAGTGGCCTAAATGTAAAAATAGGGTTAGAAAGTAAAGGGAACTTGCAGTAAGCAAGTGATATACTCATGTTATAGTTTAGTGAATTCTGCATCAAGATAGGTAACAACATAGGGGTGCCTGGGTGGCTCAGTCGGTTAAGTGTCTGCCTTCGGCTCAGGTCATAATCTTGTTTGGTGAGTTCGAGCCCCACATTGGTCTCTGTGCCAACAGCTCAGAGTCTGGAGCCTGCTTCAGATTCCATGCCTCCCTCTCTCTCTGTTCCGCCCCTACGCTCACTCTGTCTCTCTCTCTCTCAAAAATAAATAAACATTAAAAAAAATTTTTTTAAAAGACAGGCAGCATCTAAGAATGATACATACCCCTTTAAATTTTGCCAAGACGTGAACTGTGTTCTTGATGGTGTCTGTGGGGATGATGTCTGAATTATCTCCATGCAGATAATCTTTTTTGGAGCTCAGAGTAAGTTGCACTGAAGTTGCCACCTCTTTAATGCTGTGATATTTCCCATCTCGCTGAATATGGAGAACTTTTACCATATCCTTCCCATAGCCGGTTCGGACAAACTCCACCTCCTCATTCTGCAATGAAAACACTGTCATCGTTTTGAAGAAAGATACATGAAAACAAAAAGTCACCTGCAAGTTCTTCAAGCCTTGATTTAATCGTATAATTATAAAAGGTGAGAGTTAAGAGTATTCATGAAAGCAAGACCCTATCCTACCTTTGAAGAAAAATGGGAACTTTTATGGAGAAAAGAGAATTGCAAGAATCATATGAAAATATATCAAACTCGCCTGAGGATAGACAGGTAGATGGCTTTCTTGATAATATTAAGTAATAATAATAATAGTAACAGTATCTCCTGTTTTACTCTGTTTTATTTAATAACTGCTAACTGAATCCTTGGAACAGCTCTGAACTAATATTGTTCCCATTTCACAGAGGGAGAACCTGAGGTTCAGAGTGTAAGTGACTAGCTCTACTTCACACAGCAAGTAAAGGATAGAGCCAACAATTCATACTCAGATCCGTGGGCTCCAAAGTTTATTCTCCTAACCACTATGCAGACTGCCATTCTTCTACAAAAATGTGTGACTGTGTTAACTGAAAATAATTATATCCTGTGTTTTTTTTTTTATACAGAGTGATATTCTGGAGAAAATGCCCTATGATCACTAAAAAAAATTTGAAAATTGCTTCCCCTTCTTGCTGCCGGGAAGAAGAGTAATTAGTGACAGGGTCCAGATTCCCTTCAGGAGTGCAGAGCCAGGCCATCTGGCTGCAGGAAAAGCTATGCTTTTAGCAAACAGACACTTAATAAAAGCCTGGTGATTGACTCATTAGTGCCCTTATTTGGAGCTGGCGCTCTCACGAGCAAATACATCCATCTCCACTGCTAGGATTCGTAAGATTTGTCCCTGGGCTTTACTGGTGTTTGAAAGAAGAGGCAAGCATCAAAATTGAACATTAAGATGATAATGCCAGAAAGTGACAAAAATAAAAGTAAATGAAAAACAACATGCAGTGAGAGTCTGGGGAGGGTCACAAAGAAGGAACCTCACCTGCTAATTGCACATAGGCTACCTAACAATTTGTTTACATAAAGCATCACCAGATCCTCTGGGAGGAGTTGTAAAATACTAGCCAACATCAGAAATTATTGTTATGTTCTAAAGGAAAGTGGGAGATATGGGAGGTTGTCTTCAGTCTTGGGGACACAGCATTCCTGGTAGGGCATGCTCCTGATTTAAGGGACAACTCTTGGAAAGGCCCCTTAAAAACCTCTGACCCAATTTTGGAGGGATTCATCTTCTAGGAAAGGATCAATGAGAAAACTCAAAGAGCAGACTTAGAGGATCTTAATAAGAACTATAACACTGATGGGGAAAGAGTCACTGCTTGTGGTTGCAGGGGCTTTGGAATCAGACCACGTTCAAACTCTATCTTGCCATCTACAGCTCTGTGGCTTGCAACAAATACTTTGTTGGCTCTGAGTCCTTAGTTTCCCCAGCTGTACAAATGGAGATAAGCACCCCTACTTGTAGGAGTTGCTGGTGAAAGGCCTGACTCAGTTCCTAGTACCTAGCTACAGTGAGGTCAACCCCAGCAAAAGTGGCCACGTCAGGCCTGGCTGTGGGCACAGCCCCAGCAGAGACAGTAGATGGGACTTTGAGTAAAGGCACCGGTTTTTAGAGTAGAGAGCACTGCTGGCAGCAGTCAGAGGAAGACTCTGATGTGTCTTTTGAGCCACAAGGAATTCCACCTGGGGGAGGAAGGCACTTGGCTGGCTGGGGGCCCCTGGATGGCATGAACGAGGATCCAGAACCAAAGGTCTCTGAGATTGTCCATCAGCCCGGGATACACATGAATATTACTTCTCAGTCCTATCCACTGTCATTAAATACCTAAGCTATGGTAGCTCGGTCTGTGAAAGCAAGTGGTTCCTGCATGGCACATAGATTCAGGGGCACCTGGGTGGCTCTGTCTGTTGAGCGCCTGAGTTTGGATCAGGTCATGATCTCACGGTTTGTGAGTTCGAGCCCTACATAGGGCTCACTGCTGTCAGTACAGAGCCACTTTGAATCCTCTCTTCCCTTCCCCTGCTGGCTCTCTCTCTCTCAAACACAAATAAGCATTTTTTTTTTTTTTTTAAAGAAAGATTCAGTGACAGCCACCCTTCAGATCCCTAACTTTGCTCTCATCTTGCCACAGCCTGTTTCAAACTCTGCTTCAGCTATCCTGAGCTGATTGTACTTGCCCAGGCTCGGCAGCCTTTCTCTGCCTGTAGGCTTTGAATATGCTATTCCTTCTTTCCTGAACACCCTTTCTCTTCCTTCTGCCCAATTACCGACCCCTTCTGTCACCTGCCTAACTTCTTCTAGTCATCCTTCAGGTCTCAGATGCCACTTGTCCTTCGGGGAATCAGCCAGCCCGCCCTTCAAGGTCTGGTGCCCCTTCTGTATGCCCTGGCAATACTGTTATCGCCTTATCACAGTCTTTATCATATTATATTGCAATTGCCTCATCATGTGTTTGATTTGTCCAAAAATGGGAAATTATGAAAGCAGGAACAATTCTCAGTTGTCATGGCAACCCCAGTGCTCAGCACAGTGCCTAGAACACAAATAGGTGCTTAATAAACGCGTTGCGAACGAATGAATGGTGCACCCCCACCTCCACCTCTTGCGTGGTGACACGGAATAGTTCAAGAAACACCCAAAAGATTTCAATACAGGAATTGCCACTTCAGCTCAAACCCCAATCAGGAAGTTCCTCTTCTGGGGAAAGCGGGGAAGGCGCCATCTGCCCTCTGGTCACCACGGCCTGGAGATCACAGGCACAGCCGACTGGAGAACAAAGGCCCAGGAAGGACCAAACTGAGTGTAGAGAGAGTCAGCCATGCGGCACAAAGTGCTCACCCTGCTTAACAAGACAGAGCACTCCGCACAGCGCAGCCCTCCCGGAGTTTCTGCACAAGGTACGCAGGAGAGGTCAGCACTCCTCAGCAAGCTCCTGACCGGAGCAGAGCTTGAGTCGTTACACTTGCTGGGTAGTAAGTCAGAAGAAAAAGGACATCACCATGAGGATGGAGCAGAAGGGAACAAGAACGGTGTGGGACGCCCAGAAGTCTCTTGGTAGGACCCGACAGAACAGATAACGGTCCAGACCAGAAATGAGGCTGTCCCCCCAATAAGACTCCCCCCAGTTCTGTAGTCCAAGAAATCGGAAGTAGGTGCCAGAACTGTGTCCTGTATAAAGCACAGTATGGTGCAGAGATCCATGTGCATGATAGCTGCACAATGAGATACCATGAAAGGTCGCTCTCATCTGGAGGGTTGGCAGGTGGCTGAGAGGGTAGGCTCTGGGCTCTGGAATGAGGCAGCACAGGTGTGAGTGAGTCTTTGTTCTGCCACCTATTAGCTCTGTACTTGGAGGTCAATGCCTCCATCTATAAAATGGGTATAAGAGTAGTGCCCACTCTCAGGATTGCTGTGAAGATAACATGAGGAAAAAGAAAAAGCACTCAGAAAAGTGCCTGACAAATAGTAAGTGTTTAATAAATGTTAGCCGTCATTATCGTTGATAAATAATAACTAGATGTCGAATTTTGCATCAAAGGGTCTTTCCAATCACTGTTGGGGAGAAATCCCCAGGTGACACACCAATCCAGAAAGACTGCTGCTAGATAAGGCGTCCTTCTGACTTCATACTTCGGTTGTCCTTCTTTGGGCTCGTGTGGCTTCAGGAAACGAAGTCGCAAAAGGAAACTCAATTTCCCAGAGTAAAACTCTGGATAGAACATCAGAAGGAATACATCTTTACCAGGCTCTATAAAAGAAAACTCCCTTTTTCTTAGACATGTCTTAAAAGATAAGGGGATGGAAATCATTACTTATCTGCAAGTGAGACTGGAGAGAACTCTCAGAGATTTTAAATTAATCTTATTTTTCACTTCTGTAATGAGCTAGTGAGTGTTCTCTTATTTGCAGGCCATGGTGAAAGTGCTAGTGGTTATCGCTACAGGACGAGAGGTTCTTAGCCAGGAATCTGTTAACTTCTAGCAGGTCCAGTGGATAGGTTTGAGGTGGAAAATATTAAGGAAGATTTAAAAAAAAATTTTTTTGTAAGTTCAAATTTTATTTTTTTAAGTTTATTTTTATTATTTATTTTGTGAAAGCGAGTAGGGGACCGTCAGAGAGAGAGAGGGAGAGAGAACCCCAAGCAGGTTCCGCACTGTCAGCACCGAGCCCCACGCAAACCGTGAGATCATGACCTGTGCTGAAATCAACAGTCGAACACCTGACCGACTGGGCCACCCAAGTACCCCATGTAAATTTAAATTTTAAAATGACTAGCATTTTCTCTTAAGTCTTTGAAGAGCTTTGGTAAGCCTCGTGTCTTCCCTCCATAACGGAGAGAAATGTAGAAGTGGTACAGCTATTTAGGTCCTATCACACAGGCATAAAAATCAACTCCGTTGCAGCGTGTCCGGATGGAAGAACTGTGGAGGGAGACAAGCCTCTCTCTCTGTCTTTGGAATGTGCTGGAGAAGTTCTTCCAATTCTGTGCCCAGGTTTTTCCTTTGCCTGACGTTTTCTTGGGCATTCATGAACAAAAAGATTTCAGAGAAAGATGCTGAACTAATGTGAGAAAAAGAAACACTCATCCGAACCATTTTAATATCGCTTTGGTGGATCTTAACAATACATAAGGATAAGAACAATAACGGTGAATCATAACCTTAGAAGCAGCTGGTATTTTTTTGGCTGCCTCGGATCTACTCAATGTCAGATGGAAAAATATTGATATCTAAGCAGAAAATGTCATGTTGCTTTAAGCTGCAGAATGGCTTATTTTTGCTAGCAAGGGGGTATGACTCTAAAAGGATTTGTCAAGCAGATGCTTCAGAAACAGTCTAACAAGTCATATGCATAATGATGGTAGAAAGAAGGTGACCTGTTACCTAATGAAGAATCCATTTACAGGTGCTTAGTTATTTTCATACTTCTGCCTATTACAAAGGAAGAGAAAGTCATCACTAAATGTCAGAGGCAATGCTAATTTTCTTGCCGGCCTCTCCACAGCACCAATAGCCTTAGGGCTGGGAACTGAAACAGGGAAACCCCTCAGGAGCCTCTCGGATGGGGGCAGGAAATTCCACAGCAAAGAAGTAATGGAGACCTCCAAGAATGCAGTTGGAAGAAAATTTTACTGAAAGGCACACATTGAAAGATAATGTCTTTCCAAATGTGTAAGTCTTGAAAATAAAAACAACCATTTAGTGAGGGTTTCATATATGTCAGGAACTTTGCATATATTATTCCCTCTAGTCCTTTGTAAGAACCCTGTGAAGTGGATATTTTGATCCAAGTTTGACCGCGGGAATTATGAGGGTTAGGTGTCCTGCCAAGGTCACACTGTTACTAGGTGACAGAGGTAGGAAAGGAGAGCCCAGTCCATTTGCTTCCAAATGACACGCTCTTTCCCACTACAAGCAGCATCCCTATACCCCCTTGATGGTTAGCCCACTCTTTAGAGAAAGAAGGGAACCATTCTGATCCCAACAGAAGGAGAGAAATGGCCATGTTACTGCAGAAACTTGAATTCCTATGCCATTTTTTAAATTCCACTCATTGGAATCTACATTATCTTATCTACTACACACACACACACACACACACACACACACACAAACAACAAACAAACAGAAACCCCTGCAATTTAAGAGGAAGAACGCTATTTTAAAAGAAACTAAGTCACAGATGGTAAGTGAGCTGCCCAAAGCCACATAGCTAACAGGCAGGCTCGTACAGTGGAAAAAGAGCCCTTCTGAGACTGAAGAGCCTTATTCTGCTTACTCTGTACCAGGCTGAACTTACCCAATGCCCAGAGGTACCCCCTGCCCAAACCACCACTTTTTCTGGAACTTTAGTCATTTGTTAAAATTATAGGGGAATTCTAAGCTCACATGGACTCCGTGGGTATGGCAAGGCTGTTCACATTGCAAAGTACGGGGAGAATGAAAGGCTGACTGCCCTTTGGGGCAGAATGAAAATTCAGCTTTGTGTCTTCAATAACAAGATGCTACCTTTGAGTCAAACACTGACTTTTATCTGGGTAAGGACTACTGCAAACATGAGCGATATAAGTTTATTTGTGGTCTTTAAAACCACATCGCCAAAGGACCCTTTTTAGTCCATCTGCAAAGATAAAGAAATAACTGTGCCACAGAAGAAAAGGAAACAAGGTGGGAAGAATGAGCATTTAATAAGCATTAGTCATGTGCCACAGGCTATGCACACAGTATCTCACTGAATCCTGAGAGCATATGCTATGAAAGTACAGATCACGAGCCACCTTTAGAAAAGGAAGTTGATACTGTTGAGGTTAAGTAGTTTGGTCAAAACTACATGGCGTGTAAGAGGTAGGGCCAGGCATGGAACCCAGGTCTGCCTGATTATTTTCACTATACCCAGCTGCCTCCTTGACAAAACATTATAATAACATTCTTTAAAATGGGATTTTACCTACCTACATACTCATTTTTATTTATTTATCTGATTAGATTTAATTCATCCTAAATTCCACATAACCCCAAAATAGAAATCTCTGAAATCTTTTTCATTTAATCCATTCATTCATCTATACTTATTCAGCCGCTTCTAGGTGATAAGCACCATGGTAAGTGCTAGAGATACAATAGCAAACCAGTCAGACATTGTTCTGCCCTGATACAGGGCATTATACACTAGATAGGGGTTATACACTAGAACAAACTTTCTCAGTAAAGAATCAAAAACTTGGTATTTTAGGCTTTGCGGGCCATATGGTCTCTGTTGCAACTGCTCAACTCTGCCATTATAGCAGAAATAGTTATACGTAATACATCAGTGAATGGGTGTCACTGTGTTCCAATAAAACTTTATAGAAACAGGCAGTGGGCCAGATTTGGCTGACCCTCGCTCTTGAGAGGAAGACTCAGAAAAGTAACCAAGTAATTAGAATACATTGTAATAATTGCTCTAATTGAACAAATACAGCAAAGTCTGGGATACCTAAACCAGATTAAGAGAGATCAAAGATAGTTTCCAGGAGGGACTGGCATCCATAGAGCTATGAATGATGAGTAGGAATTAACAAAATAAAATTTTCTGACCCTCTTCCTTTAATTCTACTTACAGCTTCCTTTAACAACATTTTTCATGAACAATTCTTTGTTTTACAAATGCCTGAATCATGTTGCTTGTCTCATCGATTTTCATCAAGATAATTCAAGTCCCCTCCCCTTCCTCCTGCAACAAGAGTATCAACTTTTTCCTTCAGTTTTTCACATTCTAGATTTTACCCAGTACCTGAAGTGGTCTTGTAAAAGTTTGAACATTAAGTTAAAGAGATAGACTCTCTGGCATGTAAATCACACCTCAAAAAGCTATTGAAAATAACTAAACAAAGCCGGCAGCCTGACTTCCAGAAGTCCTCACAGGATGACTAAACTTTGATGAAGCCAGCATAGACCAGGGTGTGGAAAAACCCAACTTAATCTCAATCTCAAAAAGTTCTTACAGATAAAGCTTCAAAGAATACGAATTCACAGCCAAAAATAAAAAAAGCACACAGGGTAGCTTTCAAGGTGTCATGAGAGAGAGCTGCAGAAACAACAGACAGTGAAGTGTGACCTGCAAAGGCTCTAGATACTGGAATCATCAAACACAAAATATCAAATAATATCTTTAATATCTTTACAGAAATAAAAAGAGAAGACTGAGCATATCTCCTTTTTAAAAAACGTTTATTTATTTCGAGAGAAAGGGAACACAAGCAGGGGAGGGGCAGAGAGAGAGGAAGAGAGAGAGAGAGAGAGAGGACGAGAGAGAGAGAGAGAGAGAAAGAGAGAGAGAGAATCCCAAGCAGGCTCCATGCTGTCAGCACAGAGCCCTATATGGGGCTGGAACTCACAAACTGTGAGATCATGACTGAGCCGAAACCAAGAGCCAGACGCTTAACCAACTGAGCCACCCAGGCGCCCCTGAGCATAGCTCCTTCTTGAGACAAGGGTGTACCTTCCCTTGAGCAAAAAACAAGAGACCAGAAAAAAGACTAAGTAAATTTGAAGAAAAAAAAAAAAAAAACCAAAGAACTTCTTAATGCATTAATAAGTGCATTAAGGAACAGATTTAACACAACTGAAGAAATAATTAGATATTTGAAAGAGATAGATAAAGTAACAGATTAATGTTGCCTAAGAGAGAACTTGAGAACCGAAAGATAGATAGATCCAAGTAAAGAATCAGGATTAATGAAGACACCGGAGACGGAATATATGCAAGAGACATAGAATGTACCAGGACAATATGACAAGAGAGAATGTGGAAGAGGCACAATTTCAAAGAGATCGGGACTGAGATTTTCCAGAATTACTAGATGAATGAATACAAACCTTCAACTATAAAATAAGAAGCCTATTACCAAGTGAAGAACTCTACCTTGTTCACTACACTGGGCCAACTTATAATGAAGGGATTTTCTGCTATTTTTAGAGGTAATCATGTCGTGAAGGTATATGTGGTATTTTTGTAATCTTATGCTCCTCGGGGTTCAAAAGAGGGTAACGTGAAAACCATTCTATCCTGTTTGCATTTTCTCCGTCCACCAAATTCAGTTTCTTTCCATAACAGTACTTTGCCATTTTTAGTGAAAGTCAGGACATACTGGAATCTAGGCTTTAGGGTAATGTTGAAATCCTTGGAGCCCCTCAGTACAGCTTTTGATACCTGGTGATTGCATAATAGAGCTTGTTGACTGACAATCGGTGCCATCAGGTCAGCGACAAGGAGAGACAAGAAGAAAGCTTCCTGAAAGTTACATCTGAAAGAAAGTAACCTAACAGCATTTTTCCAGACTTTGAAATAAAATTGGATTTAGCAAATAGCATCCCAATACAGATGTCCCCCAACCACAGGAAGGGCTCAGGTTATAGTAAAAACAATCTTAGCTATTATTTGTGGATCATTTACTTTTGGCCAGGCACTGTGCTAAGCATACAATGAGGAGAAAATAGGAATTACTTTATATCCTATTCAACAAAGGTTCTTTAGTCTACATAACTGCAAACAAGTTGCTTATCTTCTCTAAATGCATCAATAAATCCTAAGCCTCATGTACTTAGTTATTACCATTGTAATACCAAAAGCTATCACAAGATAAAAATAATTTTATTTCATTTTAACTTAGAAAAATAAACCTCATGCTATGAAAATTTTTAAAAATTGATGAAAAGTTTGCAGTTGCTGAAATCTTTTTTTCTGAACGCAATAAAAACATATATAAAACAAAATGATACTCATGGAGGAATGATCAGAAAAAAATGTTGTTTTGTTTTGTTTTGTTTTTTTCTACCTTGATTGTTTGCAAACCTGTCAGATAAGGTACAGCCTTGGCTCAGGGCAGCAAGCCTCAAAGTTTCGAGTGTACTGGCATCACCACAAACTTTATAAAAAATGTAGATTCCTAGGCCCAACTGGGAGAATTCTGAGTTAGCAGGTTTGGGCTAAGACCCAGAATTCTGCCCCTTTTGCAAGCACCACAGGAAAATATGGGTACATGGTCCAGACACCCCAAACAAAACTCTGTCTTAGGAGAAATAGAGCCTCAGGCCCTCCCTTTCCTACGAACCTTGAATCCTGAACAATTCGAGTTCAACACAGAAGTGATCTGAGTTGCAAGATGCCAGTTTGGTGTGGGTCCCTAAGTGACTGGTCTGGATCCATAATCCAAGGGATAGATCAGAGCTATCCTTCTGGTAAAGTGCTCCTAATTATGAGAGCATCTTTAAGAAGTGAGTCAAAAGCATCATACACTTAAGGAAATCCTTTTCATATGCCTGTCTCCTCCCTCCCCTCCTGTAAAAAGAGAATGGTCTCACCTTTTTATAGTCATTGTGGTAATAGGCCATTTTCTCTTGGCTTTCAACTTCAAATTTAGTTTCAAGAGTGAGAAAGAATAGTTTGGGCAAAACAGATGTTTGTAACATTTTTTATTTGACCTGAAGGGTGAGTGGTCAATATGTTTACCCGATTGCATTACAACCAATTGGACACCAAGGCCTCTCAAAAGTAGAGCACCAAGTTGAATGGCTAAAACCAGAGGTGGAGGCAATACGTAAACATCTTTTGTAGAATACAATTAAATTGCTCTTTAAGGAAACCCTTTGAAGTCCACTTTAGGAAAAGTTTACTTAAGATTGAGAATATTAGAAGTGATAGATCCTAATTTTTGCTAAGACTTAAGGTTTTGTCATTTCTGCTTAATGTGTGAACTGCAAGCATTTGCTTTCACTCACAGAGAGGCTAATCGTGAGGGGAAAACTTGAAATACATTTAATTCAACCTCTACTTATCAACATGGAGTTTCCCTGCCCACCGAACTTCATAGTACATGATGTTCCCTCAGAAGAGTTAACTGTATATCCCATTTTTCTCGCTGGGACTTTTGATGACTTTGCAAACTAGTCAGCACAAAGGCATCCGGAGTCACGCTGGCATGTTGTGACAGAATCACACAATTACATGAGGTTCGCCCCATTCTGAAAATGCCCGAACAGCGAACAGCAGAGGCAAACGGAAACAAAACATCAGAGCCAGCACAGCCTGATCGAGACCTGAAACTCAGACTCCTCGTCCGGGGGGCAAGTTTCCTGCTGTGGTGTGGAATATAGGTGGCAGATAAAAAAAAAAAAATGACAGCCAGACTTCTAAGAACAGCCCTTCCTTTGCTCTTCTTCGCCCTCTTTGGGGTCCTGGAGGCGACAACAATATCGTGCAGAAATGAAGAAGGCAAAGCTGTGGATTGGTAGGTAAATGAAATGGAAGGATTTGTGCATGCAAATAGAAAGCCAGAGTATGGGAGGCAAACTGGCTCACTGTAAAGTTCCACAAGGAGTCTTCCCCCTCCCTCTCCCTTCTAAAAAGAAGGGAAATTAAAGTACATACATGGACCAAATATCCAGAGAGGTCCTGAGTGAAGGAACTTCCACCTGAGAAAGCTGCCAAGCAGTGCCTGGTGGACCTGATTCACTTCTCCCAGCGGGCCAAGGCCGGTGGCCCCAGATGTGGGGGGCCAGTTGGCAGGTTCCTTTCATTGCATTGCGCCTTCCCTAACGGGACCCTTCCAACATCCTTTCAGAGATTTGCAAAGGAGAGAAGGCAGATTGCTTTTTTTCTGACACGGGACGTTGTGCCTCTCCTTCTGAGAATGAGAAAGAGGGCTTGATCGAACACAGCAGTGTTCGGTTAACCTTGTTTATTAGGGCAGCACAGGAGCACAGGAGTGGGTGGTAGGTCCTTGGCCTCCTTCACGCTGTGGAAGAGACTCAACACAGCATTGCATTATGGTTATGGATTCTTCTAATGCTTTGATCGCTTTTTCACTCTTTAATTAGGGTGTTTAGGTTGAGCATTATGATTGGCATCAAGCTTTGTGTAAACTTCAGGCTTGAGAACACAGAGACACTCAGTCTCTCAGCAGTTACTGAGCTCATGCCAGGCCCTGTGCTGAGGTTTGAAAATACAAATATGAATGAAACATAGCACTTGCCCTCAAGGAGCTCAATTATGTGGTGAGGGTATAGATGGGGCCTCTAGGGAGCATGAGCCCCCAAACTAGTTTTGAGCTAAGTTTTAAGAACAATTATGAGCTGGTTAGATTTTTTTTAATGTTTATTTATTTTTGAGAGAGAGAGACAGCAAGCAGGGAGGAGCAGAGGGAGAGGGACAGTGGATCCCAAGAAGGCTCTGCGCTGACAGCAGAGGGCCCAATGCGGGGCTCAAACTCACAAACGGTGAGATCACGATCTGAGCCTAAGTCGGATGGTTAACCGACTGAGCCACCCAGGCACCCCGTGAGCTGGTTAGAAAAACAAGGGAGATGCAAGGGCATCTCAAGCCAATGAGGGAGCAATGGGGAGGTACAGAGGCAAAAAGCAGGGGAGAAGGTTCAAGAACAGTGTTGCTGGTGCTTCAGGAGAATGGTGGGAGATGGCAGGAAGTAAGCTCAGTGAGCGGTGAGGGCCAGGTCATGAAGGGCTTTGTGTGTTGGGCTGCAGCGTCTGAATTTGACTGTCAAAGGGAGCTACTGAAGACCTTCCAGCAGGGATGTGACGTAGTCAGATTTGTATTTTAGAAAGCTCACTGGTGGTACGTTGAAGGCCAACTGCATGGAGACCAGTCTAGAGTCATGGACTCACCAGGACTTTTGCAGCATTACAGATGAGATGATGTGTGGACCTCATCAGTTTAAAGTTTAAAGACGCGGTAGTAGAAATAGAGAGGAAGGAACACTCTGGGAAAACTTGGTAACAGATGGGCTGAGGGTCGTAGGAGAGAGGGAGAAGTTAAGAAAGACTTTCAGATTGCTGGCTTCTCTGACTGCGTGGATGTGTTCCCCGTCTGCAGGAGAAGAGCAGAGTTGGAGCGAAATATTATAAACTTGGTTTCAAAAATATGGAGTTGGAAGTCTCTGGGCTATCTCTGCATTTAGGCTTATCTGGACCTCAGCATAGAGGTGTGGGCTACAAACAGATTGAGGAAACTTCAGAAGATAACTGGAAATGGTTACTCAAGAAAAATGTTTAAAAGCACTAGTTTTCAACTGATACGCCGTGACCCTGATGGTTCTCAAACCCTTTACTGGTGAGCGACCAAATTGCGATCAATACATAACATTTGTTTTTGCTGCAAATGAATGGACACATTACTCAGCAATACCCGTCAGAGAGAATGTTGAGCTGAGCAGACGGGGAGGCACAGTCTCGAGCCGCTACAACTCACTGTGAGAGTAAAAGGGCAGAGCAATATCAGGTCGGCACCAAAGAATAATTTTATGTTTCCTGCCACATGTGAGGACCCTGTTCTGAGAGTAAGAATGCATGCACAGGGCAGGAAAGAGCTCGTGTAAATAAATGGAAGCATAAGAGTGAATAGAACCAAGTGAATAACATGAAGTGTTTACGGGCAGTGTGAGATGTCATCGTGTGGTCATAGTGAATGCATTAGAATGTTTGCCTCCTTGTGGGTATTTGATGGTTCATTGTGGGATTTTTGCTATTAGAGGTATTTGGCAAGACCCGGGTGATTTTGCCCTCTGGGGACTTTCAACATTGTCTGGAAACAGTTTTGATTGGCATAGCTGAGGAGGATTACTGTCGTCTGATAGGTAGGGCCAGGGATGCTGCAGTGCACAGGACAGCCCCCACAACAAAGAATGATCTGGCCTGAAATGTGACTAGAGAAGCCCTGGGGTTACATGATCCAAGAGTGCCTACCTGCCATACGGGCCCAACCGCCTCCCCTCCCTGTGAGATACGCAAAGAAGATATACAAGGAGATAATAGTAAGGACAACAAAATGCTTGCTTAATGAGCTGGTCTTGGCCCTGAATCCTCAATGCAGAGCGGTCTGAAAAACTGAGCTAAAGAACGTGGCCTAGGCCAGAGACTCAAGGGAGCCTCTGTCTACTCTGAAAGCCAAACCCAAATCTCGGACCCAGCCAGCCAACTACAAAGAGATGAGCGTGCCAAGCACTTGGGGCAGAAGAGAAAAATACATCCAAGGCCTTTCCAGTCCAGGCCTGGGCTTCGTTCTCTCCCCAGTGCAGCCATATGGCATGTGGAAACAAAAGAGAGCCACTGTCAACCTACATGGGCTTCCACAACAGGGACCCTACCCACCCTAGGCCAGTTGATGTCTTAGGACACATCCAGTCAGAGTCACATTCCTTTCTGGGAAGGAGAAAAATAAGGGCGAGAAAAGAGACAGAAATCCTGAGCAAATCCCTTTCCTTAGACTTAGGGAACATAAGTAAAATGATATAGTTAGACGCTTAATACAGTGGCTGTCACCAGAGAAGCTGTCAATAAGTGTTAGTAATTCATAATTATTTCCTTTGTTAGGTTTGCCTTTTATAAGTTACCTAAAAGGCAAGACAAGGAAAGCAGACAGACGGGGTTAGAGTACCTATACCTAGACTCTACAACCAGGAGCTGGAGGAGGAGTAAGCAACTAATGAATACCACCAACAGTGTGTTGGGAAGGACATTACAACAGCTCTATGAAGCATATGCCTCCGAGGTATGTTACAGTTTATCATTCATCTGAATCACATAAAATGCATAAACAGAATCTAAAGCTTCCAAAAGATTCTGACTTCGAACCTACCTAACCCCTGATCCTAGCAACTTGAAGTAAGCTAGCACACAATCTGAATCAGTCTTAGACCTTCAGGAATATGTCATCAGACTCTACAGCGATGCCAGATTATGGGCACATTCAGCACTATATCCCATAGCATCACCGGGTAAGGTGTGAACTACCTACGTATGGAAGCCTTCTGGCTGCCAAACTCTGCCAATTCACTCCGTACTTGCTGTCTTAGACCTCTAACAGAAATAGCAAGAAGCCCTCTCCCATTATAATGCAATACAGATCAGCAATTAATACACCACGAAGTACGGGTTACTTAGCCATGGTGGTGATGAGTGCTGGGGGCCAAAACGAAGGGTTCCACCTGGTCTTCCTTTTCACTTATCATTTTCCAAGTAGTAGGTTGAAAGCTAGGGCTGTAGTTCGATGCCCTATAACTCACTTGCCTGAGTGGAGATTAAACCTGCTATCTGGACTTGATCAGGCAATGCGCTAACCAGCCAAAGAGGCATAGGTAAGTAGGCCTGCTGGCTCAATGTGGGCAGTCTCCCAATAATCCAGGCACCATCTGCCGTTCAGTGGCAAGATACTGCTTCCCAACCAGGGGTGACAAGGAAAATCATACAATAATATTCAGTTACACGCATATATGCCTTCCTAACAATCACTGAGAGAGAGGTAAATGTGTAAAATGACTCAGCACTTACGGTATGCTAGGCCATTACATATGTCAATTAATTGATTTCCAACAATAATGTGTTAGATCCTAGCGCTGCGGCACATGCATATCTGAGTATTTACTCAAAATGCGCAGAGAGCTGTCACTGTGTGCACTAATGCTCATGTTTTTATTCGTCTGCCACGAAGACCAGCCTTCAGAGCCAAATTTCAAAGTAAAAATGTATTTTAAAAGTGTTTGAGTACACGTGATGGACCAAGCCCTGTTGTAGGTGCTTTTAAAAATTATTTAAACCCAGCAGCAACGCTGCTTTCAATTAATAGATTATTATGTAAAGTCCAAACTGCCTGCAGCTGCTTCTGTTTTCCAAGTTTGGGGATGGAGGCTGGGAGCATAACCCATTAGTGAGAAAATAAACACTTCTGTTGTTCCCTTTTCCACCGGGGAGAGAAAGGAAAGAGCAACATTGTAGAGCCTCTGTCTTTTACCTTAGTTGGGACAGATGGTTCTTACTTTGGCGGAATACAATAATGATCTTTGGAGGCACAAAAGTGGCCCCAGAGCCTAGGAGGGCAAGAGAGCTAAAATGCTCTGCAAAATGAAAAAGAGTGGATGAAAGCTAGGATTTAAAAAGTATAAGAAACCCAGAGAGAGACTAGAGGCAAGGCCAGGTGGTGATGTAAAACCATTCAATGTTTTGTACCTTCAGTGAAATCTGATCACACATAAGGCCTTCAGTGAGGGATTCTGGGAAGAAAATGACAGGGAAGGGGCTGATTTCCATGTCTGACTGGCATAGAGCCAAAAGAAGAGGAACAACAGTAGTGGGGACACCTAAGTGAGATCGGGTGTTCTTTGGAAGCTGGGTCTGTGTGCCAGAAGTGACAGTGAGAACATAGCTCCCCCACCTCCTGGTCTGGGATTCTATCAGAAAGCAGAATGCAAGATCACAGCAACTGGCTTTAAATCTCAAATGTCAAGATGACCTAGGCCAATACGTGGGTTACATTTGGAATTGTTTCCCTTCTTTTGCCTTTGTCAATAAGAACCTTCCATACACCTTCGTAGTAACGCTTATCAAACTATATTGTAGTTGCCTGTGCCTGCCTGTCTATATTCCCTGCTAGACTAGGGGCAGAGATTGTACTAGTCTTGTTCAACATCCAGTAGTCAAAATAGTACCCAGCTTATGTGTTCTAGAAACAAAGCTGTCCAGAAGGACATGCCTAGGCCTACCTATCCTTAAGTCCATGGTTTTTCCCCTTTATCAGAGAGCCTTTCTTCACTAGGGCTGCCTCCCATTTAACCTTAGCTAGCTGTTACACTCCTGGTTAGAATAATATACTTCGTCTATTATACGAATAAAGCTCCTCAAAGATTCTTCCCAAAGCCCCTTCGCATTGCACGCCGAAGGCACACAATGGCCTCATGACCACATTCAACGCCAGCTCATTGAACAACTGTCAGGGTCTTCCAGCAGAGAATATGAATGCCAACAATAGCTATAGTCAGTTGTGAAAATGAAGCTAAGAAAACAGCCTCTTTTCCTGGATATTTCTAAATATAGTAGCCGAGAATGCTACACGGACTATACGGTGCATTAAAAAAAAAAAAAAAAAAAAAAAAGGTTTTAGATTACCTCAAATAATTAAGCAGTTGTAAACAACTCAATAATTGGCTTTTTTTTTTTTTTCCTGAGACAAAAAGAAGAGCCTTTTTTAAGGAGATGAGTTTTCCTTCCTTGCTTTTAATTATGTCCCTGAGATTTTTGTTAATATCAATATTATTGGCTTCAGTAAAAATCACTGCATCGTGACACAAACGAAAAGGAACCACACAGAATAAATACAAGGAAGCTTCCAAAACATGACAAAAGAGATACCATCAAAATAATAGCTTCATTTTTACTCAGAGATTTGGCCAACTGTTTAGAAAATTTACTCATATTTTGCCTTACCAGAGGCAATCCAATATCACACATTCAATTTCACTACTTTTTCCAAGCAGGGAAATATCAAGCAAGAAAGGTGAAGTGACACTAAGAAATGAATTGAAGGGAAATCCTCCCCTGCAGGGAGGTAGTGGGAGCAGAGAATGAGGAATCTTGATTAAACACAAAACTATGACCAAGCTGTGAAGCACAACGTAGGCAGAGGAAAGCAGACCCTGACGGCCAGTTCTGCCATGGTGCCTATATCAGTGGAAAAAACCCAGGTGTAATCCTAGGCCGATTGTTCCTACACAAATATTTGTTCCTCAACAAATATTTAAGTACTCCTTTATTATACAGTGGTTGCCAAATGAGAAACGCAGGTCCAAAACAGCCAAGAGAAATAGGAATAGTACCTTCACATGCACATCATGATGCACAGGGCCCCTGTCACATAGGATGAAACCATGCACGGTTAAGAATGGACTTTCTGTTCCCTCCCTTGCCTGTCACAGAATTCAGTCTGATGGGGAAGCTGTCTATTAGGATAACGGATGATTTCTCATGTGTATTAATGAAAGCTCTGTATTGCAGACTGGGTAGCTGGTAGAAATGTTGCGAGCATTTATGAGCGTAAGATTTACATCATTATAACCCTAATGTGCTCCTGCAGAATAACAACACAGCCTATCTAATATACAATGATGGAGTCCCTACATCTGTGAATTACAGCAGAAAGTATGGACACACTAAAGGTATGACAAAGGCTCTTGGTTTGTCTTTTCTACTGGAAATCAACATTCTCTTAAATATTCTATCTTGAATATTCTTTTTTTTTCCACACTGAAAAGATAGCTTTCCTTTTTAATGGTTTATTCTGAGCTATCAAAATTCTTGATTTCTATATCACAGGTTATAATTATATAATTTCACTTGGAAATCTCCTTTTCACAAATTCCACTTTATTTCTTAACATAAAAATATATGCTCTATAGCAGAAATCCCAGAATTCTACTGGGAATACCAGCCAGTCTATATAGTGTTTGTGTGTATGCACGCGCGCGCGTGTGTGTATGTGTGTGTGTGTACACATTTCAGTTAAGTTCATTGAGGTATAATTTCCATAGAGTAAAATTCACTCTTTTTAGTGTATAGTTCCTTTTGAAGTAAACGTTTTTGAAAAGTACTTTTAATAAAAAAAAAAAAAA